CTGCTTGGGGTTTTCTCTCTCTCTCTCTCTCTCTCTCTCTCTCTCTGCTCCTCTCATGCTTGCACTCTATCTCTCAAAATAAATAAATAAACTTTTTAAAAAAGTCTCTTTCCTCTCACTGGAGGAACAATTTTCTCAAAGACAAATTTATGCCCTGCATTTAGGCACTGAAGGTAACTATGTGTTTTGTATTGTTTTGAGGAATTTCCAGGTTTTATTTGACAACTGATAAATACAGAGAGAAAAATTCACCATAGCAAAATCTGAAGAAAGTAAACCATATTTCAAAAATGATGTTCTACAGCAACAGAAGATAACCCAGCATAAACAAAAATGTGTATTTTATTTATTTTTTATTTTATTATTTTTTTTTAAGATTTGATTTTTAAGTACTCTACACCGAGCGTGGGGTGCAAACTCAAAACCCCGAGATCAAAAGTTTCACGCTCTACTGACTTCACCATCCAGGCACCAATCCCCACCCCCCACCCCCAGTGTATATTTTAAAAAGAAGAAGTAAATATTTTGATTTTGGGACTGTAAATCACTTTTAAAATTTGACTTTATTTTTAATTTTCTATTAATATGCATTTATATTTGCGAGAAAATGAACTTTGATTTTTTAAAAATGTAGCATGACCTAAGATAGTTAATCCAGAGAGGAGTACCATGAGGAGAACAGCAGATTTCCAGGCAAAGACATCCAACTGTAGCGACAGCGAAGCATGTTTTGCATTTTGCCATTTTCCTAGCTAGACAAAGAGCCCAGATGTATTAGTGTATTTACATATTAACTTGATCTTCACAATGCGATGTCTATTCGGACCCCACACTAGGCAAAACAATGGACTTGAACTAGTGCCAGGCACCTCTCTCCCTAGGTTTAGGAAGAGAGAACTTGTGTGAAAGCAGGGGGATTTGGTCCCAGGTCCATCCTGGAGACATTGGAGATCAGCAAGATCTGTCCTCTAAGGTTCCCTGGGATAAGACCCTGTTTTAGTCCTTGTTTTTGCCCTGGGGGCATAATGGTCTCCCTTTCTCTTTGGGTAGAGAGGCTGCCTATGGGAATGCAGCAGCTCTTCTTAGTAACCATGGGAACATTATTGGCATGGCAACCTGGCAGCCACAGTGAAAGTCAGCAAGGGGTGGAGGGCTGGAGGCGGTGGGAGGTAGTCCTGTGGAAGAGGGGAGGGGGAAGCAGCCTTCCTTGCTGAGGAGAGAAATGGAGGAAAGATGCCCAGCTCTCTGAGTGGCCTCAAGTGAGAAGCCTCTGATCAATTAAAAACTCACTCTATAATCCAGTTCAGGGGGACTTGGGGTAGGGCTATATGGCATCTAAACTGGACACGATCTAGATCTCTTGATGTTTTTCTGTATTAAAGTATGTATCAGCGGCAGCAAGAAAGAAATAGGGGCTGAGAGACACAGTGTAAAACATCTCACAACATGTGGGCAAATTCTGACATTAAGTTTTGATTGCAGGCAGAATACCACACAGAGCTTTTGTAGGGCTCTGAGAATCCGAGCATCTTGTATTAAAGACGAGGACATTTCCAAGCAGCACGTAAGGCAAGAACTAATGATGCAATAAGGTTGAGAAAGGCTAAGAAGGTAGTAAAAACAAAACCAAACAAGATCTGCCAGGAAGAAAGAACTTCTGAAGAGGAAGGAGCAAACGGCAGTGCCCAGGCAGCCCTTTCTCTAGGCTGAGCTAGAATCCCTCTCCTTCATGGTTTCTGTGATGGACTGACAGGGTGTGAACTTAGGAGTCAGATATTCCATAAAAATATCCCGCACAAAGGATATTCTATAAGCCTGGAAAGGGGAGAGAAAGAGACAGATAATGAGGTACAGGTCAGACTTATTATCCAAGGACAATTAAAACATTATTTATAAACAGTGTCTTTAACTTTTTTTTATTGAGAGAAGCAGTACAAAAGTATGCAATGCAATTCATTATCATACACACACATGCACATCATTTAGGATTAGTCTATCGCCACCAAAGTAAAGGTAGATAAAGAGTTGCCAGATAAAATATGGAGGTATAGAGTGTCCAGTTAAGTTTGAATTTTAGGCAAACAATGAATACATTTTTAGTACAAGTGTATTCTATGCAATATTTGTGACATCTGTTTTTTTTTTTTTAAATATTCATTAGTTACCTGAAATTCACATTTAGCTGGGTGTCCCATGTTTTTGTTTGGTAAATCTGGAAATCCTAGAAGGGGTTATGAAAGAACATCCATTGACTATAAATCCTTCTTCTGACTGAGTAGCGATTGAAGCTTGGTTAGAGGGAATCCCTGAATAAAATGGAATTTGGAGTTAATTTGTAGATTTAAATTACTTTGCTCTCTCCCTAGGGTTTTGCATAAATAAGTTTGTGTCATCTTGTTTTCTCACAACGCCTGTACGAAATACTTGAGTGGTCTACAAATGGAGACGCAAAGGCAAAGATGTCAAAAAGATACTCCAAGTTTCCTCAGTGAGTTTGGGGTCCATTTAAATAAAATGTTGCGATTGGTTTCAGAAAGAAACCATAGAGTTTATTGATAAAGTTTAAGAGAAGAAAGAGATCTTATCTGAAGCCCTTCATACTGTGGATGAGGAAATTGAGGTTCAGGAAACCTACCTAATTCTCCCTAAGTCACAGAGCTGGTTAATGGCTGAGTTGACACTGAAATCCCAAACTGCTGAGTCCTAGCTTTATGGAGATTTTCCCAGTTTGCAATCACCATGCACCCTTCCCCTCTCCTTTCCCTTTAGTTTTCTTCTTTCTCTCTTTTTAAAACTTACTTATTTATTTTGAGAGTGAGGGAGTAAAAGCATGTGCACAAGTGGGGGAGGGGCAGAGAGAGAGACCCAGAGAGAGAATCCCAAGCAGGCTCCTCACTGTCAGCACAGAGCCCTATTCAGGGCTCGAACTCACAAATTGTGAGATCATGACCTGAGCCTAATTCAGATGCTCTACCTACTGAGCCACCCAGCTGTTCCTAGTTTCTTTCTCTTGCAATCTGGTCTAGATAATCAGATCAGCCATAGTCACACAGCTGTATGATACTAAACTGAGAATGTTTTCTAGATCTTTCAAGTATAGAGAGCTGGATTATTAAAATCTTTTTTTAAAAAATGTTTAGTTTTAAGAGAGGTGGGGGAGGAGCAGAGAAAGGGGAGATAGAGGATCCAAAGCAGGCTCTGTGCTGGCAGCAGAGAGCCTGATGTGGAGCTAGAGCTCACTAACTGTGAGATCATAACATGAGCTAAAGTCAGATGCTTAAGCAACTGAGCCTCCCAGATGCCCCAAGAGAGCTCGATTTATTCAATGTGGATCACATATTTTTCTGTTCTAAACAAGGTTTACAAAAAGATTTAAGAATAATCACTATCAGATCATGGGGTAATCTTTCCTCTTCTGACAGGTGACGAGTGAGCATCTTTTGATTTATACATTTTCCACGTCGTTCATGTCCATTGGACCCGATGAACAAATTCTGGAAAGAATCTGGATTTGTTTTGAATATGCAAACCTACAAAATCAGCAGCTTCTGAATGCTTATAGATTGCCAAGCCTGTTCATTCTATATCTAATTGCTCTGTGTGTTTCTAAGTCACTATTTGCCTCATGGACTTCTGTTCACATGTTCCAGGGATTTGATCAATATCCAACAGTGGATTTTTCCTCTCATAGCTCCCCCAAACCCAGTTACAATGCCAAGCCATGTCAAGAATTTTGCAGGCTTTCATTTGGTCTGTACATTTGGGGGAAGCCATCTTGCTCCTCGCCAACCACACCTCTTCTTTGGGGCTTGATGTCCAATGTTGGGAAGCTCTCACCTTGTAGGATGTGACAACTAGAAATGACTGCTTTATTTAAATCCTGGCAACAATGACTTTGTGAAGACTTTGGAGGTTCTTTGCTCATTTCTACAGGGTCGAAAATGCTGTCGTGACTCATAGTCACATCTTAAGGAGGACAGCTGTGGCCTAGGGCATTTGCAGATCATGTGGGGCTCTGGGGGGTTGTTGGTGAAGTGATTTTTATATGGCCAGACTAGTGCAGTGAAATGACAGTGTTAATCATCATTTTCTTTTTCCTCAAGTTCATTTCTGAATTATCACATTTATGAACACCAGGGCATCCTGGGGTAGCATAAAATAGAGAGTAACTGCCATTGAAGGAAGAGGCAGTCAGTCCTCTGGGGTTTATATAAATGATGTGTCTATTTGGCTGGCTGTATATATTCCAAGATTCCAAGATAACCAAGAATTAATCTAGAAGTAAGCTCATGGAACAAAACTACCTCATGAGTGGACTTCCCTCATGACACTGTGGTTGAGGCTCTATTTCCTATTGAGAGTAGGAGGCAACAATAAGCCTATTCTGTCCCTGTTCACCCAGCCACATGCTGATCCCTGATGATAAATCACTTGGTAGCCACAGAGAGGGGAAAATTAACAACCTTTCTTTTTTGACCACTGTAGATCCAAAAGCTTCCCCCACACTGGAGGCCTCATTGTCTATTTCCTATTAAAATCTGTGGCTCTCCTTTCCTGAAATAGTCAAATATTTTCTTTATAGAAAAAAAATTCTCATCATATTTACACACAAAGAGATTTCCAAGACCTCAAGCGATCTCAATTTCTTATCTGCCAACTAGCTCATGTACTTTGTCATTTTTCATCAGGTAACAGAGGTGACTATTCTGGAATTTGTAATTATCCTTGGGGTTGATTTATTGTCAATTTTTATAGTCCTGCTTATTCTTTTTGAAAATAATGTGATCTTGTTCTGGGTGCTTGTGCTTTGTGGTAGACAGTAATTACCTACTGACGAGATGGCTGTGAATAGATCTTGAATCTTGGGGAATATTCCACTTCCCTTGAGGAAACAAATCAGGGAGTTTAATCAACCCTGGAGATTGAAGACAGGGATGAATATGGGCTGGAATTGAATGTTGGTGTTTGAGAGCCACCAGTGATAGAAAAACCAAGCAGCCTTAAATGTTTGCAGCGATGAGCTCATCTTTATTTTGCTGGGTTGTGATTGACGTAGGTTTTCAATAAAGATTCAGCGGCTCATTTCCAGAACACTGTGGAAAACCGGCTTCTTCAAGAAGGATCGTTCTAAGGAAAATCAAATAGAACGAGCACAATACATATCATATTAACACTGAATTTCGAACAATAACAAGCCATTTCTAGCCTTGAAAGCCATTAAAAAAAAAAAAAGAAGGAAGGGCAGCCTTGCAAGTTCAGGTTTTCGTCAGTAGAGGTGTCTAACTGACATCACCTAGTGGGAGGTTAGACCAGACGACCTTCAAATGCTGTATATATGCCAAGATTCTTTGGCTATAGCAAGGAAATTAGGGATTAAAATAAGTTCAGCTCAGGAACTAAAATAAGCCCTTAGAATGGCATTAGTGTGATTCCAGGAGTATTATGTACCCTGTATTTCCAGTAACCTGCCCTTTGAACCTATGACCCAGCCTCAGTTTTTCTTCTTCTCCGTTTTTTAAATATTTTATTTATTTTTGAGAGAGAGAGAGAGAGACAGCATGAACAGGGGAAGGTCAGAGAGAGAGGGAGACACAGAATCTGAAGCAGGCTCCAGGCTCTGAGCTAGCTGTCAGCACAGAGCCTGATGCGGGGCTTGAAACCACAAACCGTGAGATCATGACCTGAGCCGAAGTTGGATGCTTAACCGACTGAGCCACCCAGGCGACCCTCAGTCTTTCTTCTTAAAAGGCACATATATACCTTTGCATGTACCCAAGCTTTGGCTCTCCTAGTTTTCTCCGCAGGAAATGCAGCCCATCCTATCAGAGAATGCCCACTAACCCCTTAAAGACCTATGTCTAAGGTAGTGGTCCTCAGCTGGGTGATTTTTTTCTTCTCCAGAGGTCACTTGAAGTTCAGGGACAATTCTGGTTGTTACAACTGGGGGGATGCTACTGGCATCTAGTGGCCAGGGATGCTGCTAAACATCCTGCACCCCACAGGAGAGTCTCCTCCAGCAATCATCCAGAAACCTGTTCTGAGTTAGGTGACCCCGGTTAGGCAAAACCCCTGCACAGCAGCCAGAGACCTTTGTTGAAAACATTTTATATCTTGGGGTGCCTGGGTAGCTCAGTTGCATAACGTCCAACTCTTGGTTTTGGCTCAGGTCATGATCTCCTGGTTCATGAGTTCAAGGCCTACGTCAGCCTCTGTGCTGACAGTGCAGAGTCTGCTTGAGATTCCCTCTCTCCCTCTCTTCCCCTCCCCCGCAGAATAAATAAATAAACCTAAAAAAAAGAAGCAAAAGAGTAAAATCAATAGATGTTTAAAAAAATATATCGTCTTTAAAGCACTTACCACTTTGTCCACTGGGAGTGTCATTTCTTGGGAAGTTTTCTTAAGCTCTAAAATCTCTTAGTATGGGGCACCTGGGTGGCTCAGTCGGTTAAGCGTCTGACTTTGGCTCAGGCCATGATTTCGTGATTTGTGAGTTCGAGCCCCATGTCAAGCTCTGTGCTGAGAGCTCAGAGCCTGGAGCCTGCTTTGGAATCTGCGTCTCCCTCTCCCCTGCCCCTCCCCTGCTTGCACTCTGTCTCTCTCAAAACTAAATAAACATTAAAAATGATAATAAAAAATCTCTTAGTATATATAAAAATAAAATTGGGGGGCACCTGGGTGGTTCAGTCAGTTAAGTGTCTGACTTTGGCTTGGGTAATGATCTAATAGCTCATGAATTTTAGCCCCATCCTGGGCTCTGTGCAGACAGTCCAGAGCCTGGAGACTGCTTTGGATTCTGTCTCCCTCTCTCTCTGCCCCTCCCCTGCTTGTGCTCTCTTTCTCCCTCTCAAATATAAACATTAAAAAATTAAAAAAAATAAAATAAAATAGAGTTGGACTTACCCTGATTGGAGATGTGGGGTGGGGGGTGGGACTAGCTCTACCTGTCAACCCTAAGAAGAGTTCTGGAACTTTCAACAATAACATATAAACAGCACTTACTGAAGCACTTAATATATCCTAGGTCCTGAGCCAAAGTTTTACATGGATTGCACATAGGAGGTTCTAATATGTGTTGAATGTTGAATTGTCTTATATAATTCAGAAGAGCATATAAGGGTTCTGGGTTAGTTTCTTGAGCCTGCCTCAACAAGGACACCAAGTCACTGGATTTCAGACTCACCCTAATCCAGTGTGATCTCACCGTATTTACATCTAAAAAAACAACAACCCTATTCCCAAGTAACGTCAACATTCTAAAGTTTGGGGTTGCTGTGGTCTGAATATTTGTGTCCTCTTAAAATTCATAGGTTGGCAACGTAATGCCCAAAGTGATGGTATCGGAGGTGGGGCCTTTGGGAAACCCCACAAATGAGGCGAAGCCCTCATGAATGGAATCAGTGCCTTTATGAAAGTGGCCCAGGGGAGATCCCTAGCCCCTTGCACTTTGTGACAAAGTGGCCCTCTGCAACCTGGGAGAGAACCTTCACTGGAACCCTACCACACTGGCACCATGACCTGGGACTTCCAGCCTCCATAACCACTAAACATAAATTCCCATCATCCATAAGCCACCCCGTCTGTGGTACTTGGTTATAGCAGCCCAAGTGGACTAACGCACAGTGGACGTAAGTTATGGGAGGACACTTTCCAGCCCCCTATAGTCTGCTCTCTGGCCCTCCTGTGTGAAGTGCATTCATTCCATCCCAACATCATCAAGTCATTTTTTTTAAGTTTACGTATTTATTTTGAGAGAGAGAGAGAGAGAGAACGAGAGCATGCACGAGCCGGAGGGACAGAGGGAGAGGGAGAGAGAATCCCAAGCAGGCTCCATGCTGTCAGTGAAACCCAGAGTCGGACGCTTAAGTGACAGAACCACCCAGCTGCTCCCAAAGTCCCCAAGTCTTAACCCATTCCAAAATTAAATCTCATCAAAATGGCATCAACTCAGAAAGTTCCAAATGTTATCATCTACATCAGGTGTGGGTGAGACTGTGGGTATGATACACCCTGAAGCAAACGTCCCCTCCTTCTGTGGACCTGTGGAACCGGCCAGCTTCTACCACACAAGGGTAGGAGTGCCTGGCTGGCTCAGTGCTTAAGCAGCTAAGTGTCCATGGTTCAACAGTTTGAGCCCCACATCGGGCTCTGTGCTGCCAGTGCAGGGCCCACTTAGGATCCTCTGTCTCCCTCTCTCTGCCCCTCTCTGCTTGTGAGTAGGACATAGGATATACAATCCCAGCCTAAAAGGAAGAAAATGGAAGGAGAAAAAAAGACCCCCGGTTTAAAGCGAGTTTGAAACCCAGCAGGGCAAATTCCACCAGGTTTCAAAAACTGATAATAATCCTGTGTGGCTAGGAGATCCAGCCTCCTCCAGGCCCATGGTTGTTCTTCCTTTTTCTTGGAGGATACCAAGTGCTTGCAGCCAAGTGCCTCTATCAGCCTGTTTCCTGTCTGGGGGTTTCAGAAACCCAACAGTCTCCCTTCATTTCATCCCATTTCTGATCCTTTCGATCCCAGGTTGGCAGTGCATCTGCTGGGATACACTTCTCAGAAACCTTCGATGTACAGGGGGTCCAGGCCATCCTTCCTCACTGCACTTCACTGTAAGCACCAAGGGGACACCAGACCAGCTTTTCCACCCTTCAAAAATCTTCTCCACTAAATATCTAAGTTCACCGATCAAAAGTCCTCCTTGCCATCTGACAGCAGAATACAGTTCAGCCAAGTTCTCTGCCACTTTATAACCAGATCATCATTTGTCTAGTACTAACAGCATGTTCCTCATTTCCATCTGAGATCTTGCCAGAAGCACTTCAACATCCATATTTCTAGCATCTTTCTGTTCATGATAATGTATGTGTTCTCGGCAGCAATAGAAGCTTTCTCTACAGCTGTTCCTTTTACCCCCTCCCCCCACCCCCAAGCCTTCTTCTGAATCACCTTTGACCCATATTTTTTTAATTAAAAATTTTTTTTGATGTTTATTTTTTTGAGAGAGAGAGGGGGGAGAGGGGCAGAGAGGGAGGGAGACACAGAATCTGAAGCAGACTCAAGGCTCTGGGCTGTCAGCACAGAGCCTGACATGGGGCTTGAACCCACAAACCTTGAGATTATGATCTGACTTGAAGTCAGATGCCCATCTGACTGAGCCACCCAGGTGCCCCAACTTTGACCCATATTTCTTTTTTTTTTTAAATGTTCATTTAAATTTGAGAGAGAGAGACAGAAAATGAGTGGGAGAGGAGCAGAAAGAGAGGAAGACACAGAATCGGAAGTAGGTTCTAGGCTCTGAGCTGTCAACACAGAGCCAGACGTGGGACCTGAACCCACTGTGAGATCATGACCTGAGCTGAGGTCGGATGCTTAACCGACTGAACCACCCAGGCGCCCCACCTTTAACTCATATTTCAACCAATATATGACTGTCTCTTCGGGGCAGTCCAGGCTTCTTCTGTGATGTGCCTCAGATTTCTCCCAGCGTCTATCCATTACCCAATTTCAAAGCCCCTTCTGTGTTTTAGAGTATTTGTGACGGCAGCACCCCCACTTCCTACTACTAAAACCTGTATTCAGTTCCTAGCATTGCCATGACAAATCGCCACTAAGTGGGTGGCTTAGAACAAGAACAACTTATAGTGTCTCAGTCCTGGAGGCTGGAAGTCCAAAATCAAGCTGTTAGCAGGGCCGCACTCCCTCTCCAGGCTCTGGGGAAGGACCCTTCCTGGCCGCTTCCTAGCTTAGGTGGTTCCTGGCAATCCTTGGTGCCTCTACCCCGACCTCTACTGCTTGCTCTAAGCTCTGCCTCCATCATCACACAGTCCCTCTCACAGTCCTCCCCTGTGTCTCTATGGGTCCTCTCTTCTTTTTTTTTTAAATTTTAAAAAAAAATGTTTTTTATTTCTGAGAGAGAGAGACAGCAAGAGCAGGGGAGGGTCAGAGAGAGGGGGAGACACAGAATCCGAAACAGGCTCCAGGCTCTGAGCTGTCAGCACAGAGCCCGATGCGGGGCTCGAACACACAAACTGTGAGATCATGACCTGAGCTGATGTCGGACGCTTAATCGACTGAACCCCCCGGGCGCCCTGGGTCCTCTCTTCTCATGATATTATCAGTCATGGGATTCAGGGCCACCCTAATCCACTATGACCTCATCTTAAATCATTTCATCTGCAAAGACCCTGTTTCCAAAAAAGGTCACATTCTGAGGTTCTGGGTGGGTATAAATTTGGGATAGTGGTGGGGGAGGACACACTATTCAACCTACTACAGGTTCCAAGTAGCAGAGTTTGGAAGTCACCGTACTAAACTCTGAACCTCTAGAAGGCATGCCTTCATTTTTACCTCCCCAGCTTCTTGCACAGGTCACAGAATGCAATTAAAAAAAAACAACAACAACAGCATATTGCCTGGAATGTGTATACCTATATTCATAGAAGCATTTTTCATATAGCCCAAAGTTGGAAACAACCCAAATATCCACATACAAATGGGTAAATAAAATGTGGTAGAGCCACACAAGGGAATATCATCCCATCTTAAAAAGAATGCGGTAGCATGAGCTACCGCACCCTTGAAAGCACACACAAAGTGAAATCACCCAGACACAAAAGGACAAATACTGGATGGTTCCACTTATATGAGACACTTAGAATAGTTAAATTCATAGAGACAGAAAGTAGAGAGGTGGTTACAAGATGTGCAGGGAACAAAAACGGAGGTTTATTGTTTAATTAATATAGAGTTTCAGTTTGGGATGAGAAAGTTGTGCACGTAGACGGCAGAGATAGTTGCAATAATAAAGTGAGTATACTTAATGCCTCTGGATTGTGCATTTAGAAATGGTGAAAGAGGTGTGTGGGTGGCTCAGCTGGTTGAGTGTGGAACTCTTGATTTCAGCTCAGGTCATGATCTCATGAGTTTGTGAGATGAAGCCCCATGTTGGGCTCTGTGCTGACAGTGTGGAGCCTCCTTGGGATCCTCTCTCCCTCTCCCTCTCAGCCCCTTCCCCCTCTTTCTATCTCAAAATAAATAAACGTAAAAAAAATTAAAATGGTTAAATCACACAGCTTAGTCTGTTAAGCGTCCAACTTTGGCTCAGATCGTGGTCTCACAGTTTGTGGTTTGAGCCCCATGTCGGGCTCTGTGATGACAGCTCAATGCCTGGAGCCTGCTTCTGATTTTGTGTCTCCCTCTCTTTGCCCCTCCCCTGCTTGTGCTCTGTCTCAAAAATAAATAAAACGTTAAAAAGTGTTTTTTTAATTGTTAAATCAGTAAATTTTATGTTATGTATATATTTTACCATAATTAAGTGAAAGAAATAATTACTGGAAGAATAACTTTGGTCATGTTCAGGACATTCTCATCCCAGATGCCTACAATACCAGCCGTCAACTTCTGGTTCCTTCAAATCCTCACAAAAATAAGAAAAACAACAGAATCCACTTACTGAATATGCCAGGCACCATGCTAAACATTCTGCATGCATTATTTTATTTAACCTGCACAACAACCCTTAGTAGATACTGGAATCCCCACTTTACAGATGAGGAAACAGGCTCATAGAGGCTAAGTAACTTGTGCGAGGTCACCAGCTAATAAATGGAAGACTGGGGTTTGAACTTGAATTTTCTGCAGAGCCCATGCTCTTTAGCACATTGTCGTGCTTCCTGGGAAACCTCTCTCAAACCCGTGAGTCCCATGCTTTGAAGATCAGGACAGAAGGTGGCCTCTAGTACAATGTCCCCAAGCTTCTCCTAGAGAAGATAATAGCCAAGACTTACATAGTGCCTTCTACTGTATCTGAAAATAGTTTACATGTATTAACTCCTTTAATCCTACATCAGGCCCCCCGAGGTGGGTGCTATAATTTATCCTTATTTTACAGAAGAGGAAATGAGGCACAGGGAGGTTAACTTGCCCAAGTCACAGAACTGGGTATCTTCCCAAGAAAGTCAATTCAGGGACCTTTTAACTATTGCCTTTTCTTCCCCTCTATCGGGAAGAAATCCTCTGGTTAATGTCACCTGAAGGGCGAAATGAACAAGTCTTCCTGTCATCTCACTGGGACCTTATTCCCTTGCTCAACCTCCATGTCATAGTTGAAATGTCTGGGGAATGAATGCATAAATGAGCCAAAAGGCGCTCTCTGCCACTTTCAACTGAAGCTCTCAAGAGTCACCCAGAGGTGCTCCGCCATCACACTTCCACCAGTGTGTCTGACTTCATCTCTAACTTGATGAGAGCACGCGGGTTCTCCAAGCAGACATGCTCTCCCGGTGCCTTCCACTGGTACTTGAAGTTCTTGTGCTTTTACTTATCTGCTCTCATGAATTATTAGACTTTGTGTTGACAGCAGCTATATGCATAGCAGACAAGAGAAATGAATGAATACATTCCTTCCTTATGTGCCCTGGTGCATTGTCCCCTATTACCTCAAGTCATCCTGTGCCAGAAACCTCACTCAGTTTTGTGCGCCTGGATCCAGCTCCCATCCTGCATCCTGGGGTGGTAAAAGCCTCGCTTTTGGCTTGAGGTCTGAACCGGGTTTGGAATGGCAGGCACCCCCCAGCTTGCCCACCTCGGTCCCAGTATAGTGGAATGAGGAGCCCCAAAAGCCCAGGGGCTTCTTTTAGTGTCTTTGCCTGCCCATCCGCTCAGCCACCTGCCTATGTTTTTATGGAGAACCTCATGTCAGGCGCGGTGAGGTATCCGTATTGGGAGGTACTGCAAGCACACATCTTGGACCCTGAATATTCATGAGAGAAGCGGAAAGTCCAATGTTAGAGAGGGGAGAAATAGTAATTCATACATATTAATAAAGGCAGGCCACATGCTGCAAGGAAGGCTCTGAATGCTAACGAGTAGATGACGTCGGGCCCTGCGCGTGCCGGCGGGCGGGTGCCCGAGCGCGGGCGCGCCCTCGAGGGCCCGGGCACGAGCGCAGGGAGGGGGCGGAGGGGGCGGGGTGGAGGAGGGGAGCGGAGCCGGGCGCCGGCCGAGCTGCGGGGGGAGCGCTCGCTGGCTCGCCGCTGCCGCCGCCGCCGCCGCCGCCGCCACCGCCGCCGCGCTGTGCTCCGGCCGCTCCCCGCGGCCCGTGGATGGGGGTGTCCCGCTGAGCCCCGCGATCCGCCTCCCTCCGTCAGGACCCGCACAGGTGCCGTCGCGGGGGGCGACCTTAGCCCGACCGACCCACGGCCGTGGGTGGGGGTTGGACGGGGGTGGTGGAGGAGGCCCCGCGATTCGGGCTTCTCCGTCAGCGGGTCGGGGGGCGCCGCAGCCCCGCGTCCCCAGCCCGTCCCATCCTGGAATCGGAACGAAGGAGCGCCGAGGCCGTCGCCCTCCTGCCCAGCCCTTCACGGGAGTGCTGCGCCCGGGGCCGGGAGCGGTGGGATGACGGGCACTTCAAGCATCATCAGATCAGAGCCTCGGCCCCCCAGCCAGGCCCGGCGTGCGTGCGCGTGCGAGTGTGTGTGTGTGTGTGTGTGTGAGAGAGAGAGAGACAGAGAGAGACAGAGAGACAGAGAGACGGGCTGGGGGCTGGGGGACCGGGAAATGTTGCCCGGTGGTGTGGTCCAGTGGATCTGTACCTCCTCCCAGGACCGTTATGTGGTCTGGCCACCCTTAAACGCCCCAGGATCCTCTATGCCCCTAAGAGCCTGACCCCGCACCCGCCCGAGCCCCTCCCTGGGGGGCCGAGCCTTTCCCCAGGACCGTGCATTCCTGCAGTGTCAGAACGGCTGGCAGCTGCCGCAGACGCTGCGGGAGCGATTGTTTTACTACGGAACAGGTCGGAGAAAGGACGAGGGTGGTGGCGGTGGGGGCGCTGCCCTTGCGGAGGGCCCAGGACCCCTTGGGGCTCGGGGGTGCAAGGCTTGACAGAGCCCCGGGGCGGGCGTGTGATCCCAGCCCTCCCTTCTTTTTGCCCATTCTTTCCCTTTTCGCCGCTCGACTCCCCCGGATCTCCCAGCCACTCCCGTGTCCCGCTCTTGTTTGGCCAGAGGGCCGGGAAGTGTGTGTGCGGCCTGCGCGGAATGAGCCCAGTGTTCCTGCAGCGCCAGCCATTGTGATGCTTGGAGAAGCCTTTCTTTACCCCAACAGACCCGGGGGGTAGGGGTGGGGTGGGAGGAGGGTGAGCGGAACCGCAAAGGGGTTGCTGACTTCCCTGCAACGAAATACTCTGTATGGCAATGGGAAGCTGGCACAATCCTGTATGCTGACTGCTTTTGCTGAGTAGTAGTGGGACACTCCCGTGGCTCGGTGGAGGGCAGATTTTAGGGCTGAGGTGGGGTAAGGGGCTAGAAATCAGCTGATTTATGGGGCAGGTAATAGGAAGAAGGAGGAGATGGAATGGGGCCTCTCGGAGGGGCTAGAGGCCCAGTAGGGGGAGGCATGGTGAATTCTCCACCGCTCCCCCTCCACTCTGCTCAGCTCAGCAAAGCGGGGAGTGGAAATTTGTACTGCAGCTCCAAGCCGTGGCTGGTGCATCATTATGCTGCAAAGGAGAGGCTTATGTGATTCCTACGGGGTCTCTGTTAAGCTCAGAGCCTTTATTTCTCTTCCAAATTACACAATCTATTGGGAGCCACAATAAATGCAATAGATTATAGGACATAATCAAACTCTAGTCCTGCACTCTGCTCTAGGCTAAGAGAAAAAGACAAGGTGACCCTTCTGTGATTCCCTTTTTCTGCCACTCTTCACGTATGTTTAAAACATTGATTTTGGAAGTGTACGGAAAGAGGATAAGCAATCAGTTGTATTAACCCTCACTTTTAAGGGAGGAGGCCTCTGGAATGAGCTGTGAATGAAGGCACGGGCAGCTGGGCCAGGATGCAAGAGTAGGACACTTCAGTGAGCGTGCAAATGCACCCCACCAAGAGAGAGCAAAACAAAAGTGAGCTGAAGGAAGGAGAGAAAGGACACAGGTTCAAGAAAGGCTGCCAGCCTCCACCCAGAGACCCCTCCTTGAGCCAGGCTCTCATGGCCTCTGCTATAATCTGGGGTCTTGGTACAAATGCCCGGCTCAGTCTGGGTCTTGGGTGATTTCCAATTCCCAGTGCTGGCTTCAGTTTTGGTTTCATCTCCAGGTGGTCATTCATACAGAGCTTCTTGGCTCCTGGCTAGTGAGTTGATGAAAAGCAAGCAGGCTGTATTATGGATTGTTCAAATGGCCATGTTTCTGAACTCTCGAGCTGTGATATCCAGTTCTTCTTTCATCATCCTCTAGGTGAATCCATTTTCTCTAGAGGCTTCCTGGCCGAGGATAGGTGCTTTGAGCAGGGTGTTCCTGTTGGCAGCACCCAAAACTCAGTCTTTGTCTTAGATGCTGATTGGATTGCCCTTTTGTTGCTGGTTAATAGTATCGTTTGTGCCCGCTTCAAATTGGTACCCCATTGGTATCACCTACTCATTCTGGCTTCCCCTTCTCTCCTGGAGAAGAGTACAAATCTAAAGGAAGTGTAAATGTCCCTAACCTCAGCTGGTTAGCTCTCATGTCTTTCTGAAATGGGGCCAGTGATCCAAGAAGCTGTCACTAAATAAATTGAAAATAGCAGGGGTGCCTTAGTAAAAAAGGTGATAAAATTTACTCGGCAATAGTTCTCCCAAGTGATCAGCATCTGAAGCATTGCACATAGACTATCACGGCAGGGGGATTTTTGTTTTGTTTTGTTTTTACTTGAAATACCCTCCCCCAACACGTGAAACTGAGTTATCCTCATTTTCCTAAAATCATTGACATTTATCGAACACCACATATGCCGTACATTGTGCTTAGCACTGCCAACGATTATTTTCATTACTCCACAAAATAACCTTCAGCTTCAATACTCTTTTCCACCTCATTTTATGGATGAGGAAACCATGGCACAAAGAGGCTGATAATTTGCCCAAAGTCTCACAGCTAGGAGGTGATGGGGCCAGGATGGGAACCTGGAATCCAGGCTCTTAACCATCACGGGGTCCTGCTCTGGTCAACCCAAATCCCCCATCTGTAAAACCTTCCTTGCTTCGTGATCTTTTCTCAACTTAACTTTGGCACTAAGGGATGCTTAATCTTTTTTGTGCTATTGGCCCCTTTGACGATGGAGACAAATCTATGGGATTCTCTTCTGAATATGTTTTTTTTTTTTTTTTAAATTTCTGAGAGAGAGAGAGAGAGGCAGCGTGAGCAGGGGAGAGTCAGAGACAGAGGGAGATACAGAATCCGAAACAGGCTCCAGGCTCTGAGCTGGCCGTCAGCGTGGAGCCTGACGCGGGGCCTGAACCCACAAGCCGTGAGATCATGACCTGAGCCGAAGTCGACGCTCAACTGACTGAGCCACCTGGGTGCCCCCTATTGGCTCTTGAATATGTTCTTTCCAAAATATAAGGTCCTAACAGGTTGCCTTTGCAAACTGTAAATACTCAGAATATACGCTGATGTGATGCAATGGTAGTTTTGGCTTCATCCCAGTACAATCCCAGTAAGAGCTGTCTGGGTCCCCACCTGGCATGGCCTTTGCCTCGCTTACTTAGAGTTTAAGTTCTATAGGCAGAGATGGAGAATGGCACTTTCAGGGCAAAACCCGTGGTGTTTACTGTCTGGTCGGCTCTCCTCAGGTCATGGTTTGAATTTAAGCATCTAACTGGATGAGGAATTACACAGGCAGGAGAGAAAAGTTTGGTTGCCTTTCCGCATTACAGGGAAGAAAGTGGAGTATGTAGGGAAGGGTGTGATGGACAGTAAAGCTGTGCTGCCTGGAATGGAAAATGAAAAACCTCTGTGGGGGACAGATGATCATTTCTCAATGAACACACATTGATTGATTGCCTAGCCACAGAGCAGTGTGTGCTAAGAATCATGCAGGAGGCCCAGAGGATGTCTGTGCCCTCGAGGAATTTAAATTAAAATTGGGGAAGGGCTTGGATACACACACAGTTGGATAAAACACGGTGGAAGGCAGTGTATGAAGAGGGCCTGGAGCTGAGGAGATGAAAGCAGGCCTGAATGTGCAGCCAGGGTCCAGTGTCCAAGATGGTGATGGAGGCTGACCTTGGAGCACAAGGGTAGCTGAGTCTATCTCTTTCAGGATAACCAGTCATTTAATCCATTCTTCCAGCCCCAGACATAAGCTCTGTATCTTGGAAAAGCTCAGGTGCTTGTTTGAAAGTCTTTATTAGTCTATTACTTATTGATGAGGGTAGTAATATCCAGGTCCATGAATCCCTATCCAAAAAACCCTTGGGGCCAGACATTTTAGAAAGCAGTAATAGAGTCTGTATTCTGCATATCATTTCCTGGGGATCGGGGTAGCAATCACTATAATTTAAAAAATTAATATTTCTGCAGCAAAACACACTCAGTCGGATAAATTGAAACCATAGGCAACTTTATATTCATGTAGATCAGGTTTAGTTGCCAAGTGAGTTTAGGTCAAGTCGGGTTTTGCCACCAAATAAGTTATGAAAGTCTTCTGGTTTTCAGAGCACATGGTTAAGGATGTGGACCTCAGGTAATAATAATAATAATAATAATAATAATAAACAGAGACATTATGGAACAACAATGATGTTTATTATCTACCAGCCACTGTTCTAATCACTTACCTCTATTTTTATTCCTTTAACCCTTAAGACAGTCTGTTGAGGATTATTATTTCTGTCTCGAGAAGAAAAAAAGGAAACAGAATTAAGTAACTTGCTAAGGTCATAACTGGTAAGGGTCAGCACAGGCTTCAAACATAGGCAATCTGGTCTGGAGG